TTGTTGTTTTGTTTTTAGAGTGTCTAAATGTCTGGCAGCCTGGCGGACTGATAACAGAAACTTAACGTCAGGCAATCAATTTTTCTCTCAATAAAAATAATAATACTTCAACTTAAATGCGTTTTTTATTTTTGTAATGTCTTTGTGTTCCTTGAGGATGACCGCTTAGTTCGAGAGCTTGGAATAAAATGTTAAATTATTCAGGCTTGATTCAACAAACTACTTGTAAATATGAAAAATACAACCAACAAAGATCTTTTAGAAATACTAATACTGTCAATTAACTGAGGCCACTGGCAGTAATGATAATACAGAATTATAGTGTTAACAGTATCAACGGAAAAGGACAAAATACTATTACATATAGAATGTGGCAGTTACAAAATCTTGAAATCTGTTGGTTTTCGCACGATTGGGACTTTTTTTCCAGAAAAAAAACGAACATTTTTCCAGACAAATAAAGTTGCATTTTTCTTCTCTTATCTTTCTGTTTTCTTTTTAATCTTTTATTGATATGACAGATAGAACAAACATAATTTCCAGTAAKAGRACAAGAGAAATGCAAAGAGTTCGGAATTTTGATTCACTCGGTCAACCTGCCTGACGTTTTGACACTCTAGTTTGATTTTGTTTTCTTTTCATCATTCAAAACGTCGTTCATGACGTAATTATTCATGATGTATTCATTTGAATGAATAAAAATCGAAACTATGCACCGCCGCTCTTTTCATGACTGAAAAAAGTGGGATAATGTTTTTGTGTTCATCATTTTCAAAATGACGGCCATGACGTAATGTGCGACCATGAAAACAGTTATACGATTGTCAGTGAATGTGCATTACATTACTACAGTTTCAGAAAATTCTCACAATTTGTTCTTTTTGACAATTCATGCTATCTACTGTTCGTCTAAGGTATCTTCATAACAACAAGATAGAAAAGTTCAGCAAATCATCGTTCCGAGGACTCTCCATGCTTGAGAAATTGTAAGCACTTATGATGAACTTTTGCAGTTTACAAACAATTATTAAACCATGAAATACGTGTCTTAATTCCTCCGTTTCTCCTTTTTGTTGTCTACTCTACATTGCTCCATATTTATCACTATTTTTCAGTCTTTGCCTCAGTGTTTGCACTCTAATACTATATTTTTTAATCTGAACCAATTTTTTTTGGCAACTATAATATGCTTTCTTATTTTTCAGAACGCTCAACAACAATACTATCAAAGAGACAGAGATATCAAGGGACGCCTTTTCAGAACTGAAAAACCTTAAATACCTGTAAGTTACATGCACACTGCACTGATTTTGAAAACTTTAAGATTTAGCTATGACACTGGCAATGTCAGAATGGAGCCGTGTTTTACTTGTTCGCGAATTTTGATCAAGGTGATCCTATATATTTGTAGCGGTATCTTTCATCAAAATCCACCCTCGTTGCGTTTCTTTTTATCAACGTTAGCTATAAATAAAAATGGTAAAAGCCACATTATTCTATCACCAGGAAGCTTGACAGTTTTATTCTCTGCTGCTATGCCAAAAAGAGTATCCCAGCACTGACATGTGAATCATCGGAA